CCCCCCACATACTTACCAACGTCGGGAACGATGTACTCTGTCGTGTGGAAAAAAAAAGACCCGGGAATGGCTGTCCAGGGGGGGGCCCTCTGGGGGGCTTCTTGGGCCGTGCTGAGGCCATTTTGGAGGTTGCTTGGGCCGCCATGGGCCTCTGAGAGTCGAAAAAGGTGAGAACGCTAAGATGCTTCAAACACATCTGGGACATCCATATGTTTGGCCTCTACCGGCGCTCTCGGGGGTCCTTTGGGGGCCCTCGTCTTGGGGGCTTTTTCGACCCTCTTGGGACCTTCGACTGTCTTGGGGCCGTCTTGGCCGGTACTGAGGCCTTCTTGAGCCGTCTTGAAGCACTCATAGATCCCCAAGGGGCCCAAGGAGCCCACATCATGATTTTCCATCTGCGTTTTGTTGGTTCTTAGGCCCGAGAGTGGGGGGGCACCTTGGTCGGTGGAAGTGGCGTGGCCTCCCGGGGTTGGGTGGGGACTCGGGGGGCTTACATTATAATCTAGTGCAGTAACACATGTAGCACTTACGCAATACTTGCATACACTGCATGGGTTGCGTTGAGGCGTTCGCCGAACAACGCTATCGCTCAACACGATCCTTCCTGAAGTGGAATAAAACAAGACAACATGTGGTAAATATATACAGTGCTTGCATACGTTGGATACGTGCAATAAGGCGTTCGCCGAGAAGCGCAGCCGCTCAGCACGTCACCTCCAGACGTGGACTCCTTTTCGCTTCGCGGGGTGCGCGTAGGGATTGCGGACCACACGGGCATTTGGGAATTTCTTGGAATTGTTTGGAAGTTTCGTGGGGACGTCTTTTTGGGCATACTGAGGGGGCCTATTGGAGGCAATTTGTTAATTGCCTGGCGGTCGAAGCGTTATCGGGGGCAGAGGGGAGGAGGGGACCGGTCACGTCACGAGTCGCACCCGCGAAGGGTGGACGGCTGGGCTCTTGGCAACGTTTGGGCTGGGAGCGGCTCGTCTTGGGGCCATTTGGAGCCGTCTTGCTGGCAGCTTGGACTGGGCCCCAAGGGCCAATCCGGCCTGGCCAGATTGGAGGATTTGGGTTATTCGCCAGACTGGATTCGCGTTGGCTCCCTCGCCAGATTGCCCCCGTTTGCCAGATTGGGCCTGCCAGATTGGCGCCAGATTGGCTTCGACTACCCAGTCTTGGGGCCACATCGGGCCGTCTTGGAGCAATCTTAGCAGTCTTGAGGCCCTCTTGGAGGCCTAGAGGCCGATCTCTTAGATTTTCTACACGTTCCGTCAGCCTCTGCCTCCGCGGCCGCGTCCTCTTCCGTTCCTCGTCCACGGCACGTTCCGGCGAGTAAGTTGTTTCCGCGCCTCGGTTTCCTTGTGCACACGTTTGAGCTTTGCGACGCCGACGACAAAATGTCAGCGCCCGAGGCAAGTCCAAGTTCTGATCCCGATGAACATTGCAACAACGCGCCAGCAGCATAACATTACGCGGGCCTATCGGTGGTTTCTTGGCGCCGTTAGGGGGCTTCTTGGGGGCCTTTTGGAAGACTCTTGCGGGCCTCGTTGGGGCATCCCGGGGCCTCTTGAGGGCCTTTTGGGAGGCTCGCGGGGGGCTTCTGCAACAACTGGCCCCTTCGGAGGCCGTCTCGGGGGCCTCTCTGGGCCGCCTGGAGCTCTCATGGGGCCATCTTGTGCCGTCTTGGGGGGCCCTTTGGGCCATCTTGGGGACCTCTTGGCCCGTCTCGGGGCCCTCTGAGGGGCCTCTTGGGCCGTCTTGGAGCAATTTTGGAAGCTCCTTGGCCGTCATGGCCCGCCGAGTGTTGAAAAGCACGAGAATGCTAAAAGATGGCAGAAACCAACGAGCAATTTATGTTTTTGGCATCTGGAGGCGCTGTTGGGTGCCCCATTGGGGCCCTCTGGGGACGTCTTGGGGGCCGATTAGGTCCTCTTGAGGCCATCTTTGGCCGTCTTGGGGCCGTGTTGGCCCGTGCTTGGACCATTGTGAGCCGTACTGAGGCCCTCTTGGGTCCCAAGAGACCCATGAGGTCGATGTTGTCGATGTTCCATGCGTTCTGGGAGCCCCAGAATGAGGGTCGTCAAATTGGTACGCACATGTGGCGCGACTCCAGTGGGGGTTGAGGCGAGACATAATACTGTAACACAGCGCATCATGTAGCGATTACGCAAGCCGTGGGTACATTGGATCCGTTTCATTCAGGCATTCACAGAAAAACGCTGCCGCTCAGCACGACACCTCCAGACGTGGACTCTACAGGCTTACGCCACTTCCGCCGACACTTTGATTCCAAGCCCCAAAGGAGCCCGGGGAGTGGCGGACCCCCCTGATGAGTTCACCCAGGGTCGTGCCCAGCCAGCCCCCCCCTCGAATTTGCACTTTGAGGTCATCGGGGGCAATTGAGGGGAGTGGAACCATCGCACGCGCCTGGAGACCACCTGGTGTCGGAAGATTTGTAGATTCTTCCGTTTCTGCTCCAACTCGGCTCCAGACGATAGCCACAAGAGGGCTGCCCCAAAACCCCAAACGGGCTCAGGAGCGGCCCGAGACGGCCCCCAAGAGGGCCTGACCAAGGGCACGAAGCGCCTCCCACTCGGGAAACAGCCAGCAGGAGAAAGGCCAGCTGGCACCAACTGCGGCCCCAGGAAACCCCCTTGATGCCACGCGAGGCCCCCGAGAAGCCCCCAGGATGCCTTCCAGAGGCCCCCAGGAGGCCCCCGCAGGGCCAGGGGGCTGCCCCCGAGAGGCCCCCGGGCGGAGGGCCCGACCCTCCAGATGGTATTCTTCCACGGCCCCCTTGCCTCGCCGCCCCCCGGCGTGCCGCAGCCGTGGCGCCTTCCCGCGCGTGGCGCACGGGGCAGGGAGGCAGGCAGTGGCAGAGGAGGAGGCTCTCTTTTCCCTTCCCCTCCCTCCCTCCCCTCCCTCCCCTCCCTCCTCCTCCCTCCCTCGCTCCCCTCCTTCCCCTCCCTCCTCATCCCTCCCTTCCCTCCCTCCCTCCCTCCCTTCTGTTCCCTTCCCTCCTCCCCTCCATCCGATTTTGATGTCTTCCTCCAGCGCATCTGCCCAGGACATGCCTTTTCGGGCCTTTGACACCCGAGCTCTTCCTGGCCCCTTTGGGGGGGCCTTCCTCGACCGCGGTGGCACGAATTTGCTGGGCGCGCGCCTGGCAGCGAGGACTTGACCCTCCCTTCGTAGACAGCAGGCCGAGTCCGATCGTCCCCCTCCGCCTACCCATGGCACCGGTAGCAAACACCAGACAGAGTCCGAAGGACAGTTGCCAGCCTCTTCGCAGGAGGAGGACGAGGAGGAGGAGGAGGAGGAGGAGGAGGAGGAGGAGGGAGAAGGAGGAGGAGGAGGGAGGAGGGAGGAGGGAGGAGGAGGAGGAGGACGAGGAAGGAGGAGGACGAGGAGGAGGAGGGGACGTAGGAGGAGGAGGAGGAGGAGGAGGAGGAGGAGGAGGAGGAGGGACGCGGAGGAGGACGAAGAGGAGGAGGAGGAGGAGGAGGAGGAGGAGGAGGAGGAGGAGGAGCAGGAGCAGGAGCAGGAGCAGGAGGGGGAGAGGGAGGGGGATGAGGAGAAGGAGGAGGAGGAGGAGGAGGAGGAGAAGAGGAGGAGGAGGAGGTGGGGAGGAGGAGGATGAGACGAAGGAGGAGTAGGAGGAGGAGGAGGAGGAGGAGGGTACGGATGAGGAGGGAGGAGGAGGAGGAGGAGGAGGAGGAGGAGGAGAAGGAGGAGGAGGAGGAGGAGGGGGATGAGGAATAGGAGGAGGAGGAGGAGGAGGAGGAGGGGGAGGGGGAGGAGGACAAGCTATGTGCGCTCGCGTCATATCTGACGTCCTACTCCTTCCTCCCATCTCTTACCATGTCGCTGATTTTCTCTATCCGCGGACGCGTGTCGTAGCGGACCTGTGGCTCCGCGCGCGCGTGCATAGTGGGTGGTGGTGCGCGTGTGTGCGCGTGTGCTGTGGTGTGACGTGTTGTGGCGTCTTGGTGGTTTGGTGGTGGGCCAGGTGCGTGCGTGCGTGATGGCGGTGGTGGTGGTGGCGGTGTTGGTGGTGGTGTGTGTGTGTGTGCGTGTGTGTGTGTATGTGCGTGTGTGTATGTGTGTGTGTGTGTGTGCGTGCGTGCGTGCGTGCGTGCGTGCGTGCGTGGGTGGGTGCGTGTGTGCGTGCGTGCGTGCGTGTGTCTGTGTGCGCGCGCATATGATGTGGTGTTACGCGGTGTAGCGTGGTGGTGGGTGGGGTAGCGGGGTGGTGGTGGCGGTGCGCGTGCGTGCGTGCGTGCGTGCGTTGGTGGGTGGAAGTGGCGGTGGGCGGGGCGGGGCGCGGTGCGGTGGTGGCGGGCGGATGGGCGCGCGAGAAAGAGGCCCGCGCTGGGGCGAGAACGCCATCCTGAACGACGGAGGCAAAACACCGATCCGAAAATGAGACCCACGCTGCAGCAGGAGCACGATTCGGAACGAGCGGGGCCCGAAAATGAGGCCGGCGCCTCAGCGAGAGCAGCATTTTGGGAAACAGATGCAGGCGAGAACCAAATTCCGGGGAAACCTATGTGTCAAAAACAGTACGCGGGGGGGGGGGCGGCTACTCCCAAGACGTCATCAGGGGAAGAGGGAGGGAGAGTAGTATTCATATGAGTAATTGTGGAGAAGGAGGAGGAGGAGGAGGGGGAGGGGGAGGAGGAGGAGGAGGAGGAGGAGGAGGAGGAGGAGGAGGAGGAGGAAGAGGAGGAGGAGGGGGAGGGGGAGGAGGAGGAGGAGGATGAGACGAAGGAGGAGGAGGAGGAGGAGGAGGAGGGAGGAGGAGGTGGAGGAGGAGGAGGAGGAGGGGGAGGGGGAGGGGAGGGAGGAGGAGGAGGAGGAGGAGGAGGAGGAGGAGGAGGAGGAGGAGGAGGAGGAGGAGGAGGCGGAGGAGGAGGTGGAGCAGCAGCAGGAGGAGGAGCAGGAGCAGGAGGGAGGTGGAGGATGAGGAGGGAAGGTGCTGGGGGCAGCGATGCTGGCAGGAGTGCTCGCAGCCCGCGGCGCTCTGCGTCGGGGGCGTTGCCGCGCTGCTCGACGAGGCCCGGTGGGGGCTCCGGGATTGCCGTCCTGCTGCTGTTGTCGGGGGCGGAAAAGAGGGGGGTGACGACTAGGGGGGGGGGGATATCATGGCGTGGGCCTTGATATTTCCCCAGATCTCATGGCGCCGCTTCTTATTTCATTACGTCCCTGGCCCCCCCGCTGAGCCGCGCACATGCCGCCGGTCATGATTTGCACCCCCCCTCTTGGACACCCCCCTCTTTGCCGCTCCCGATGTTGCTGCCCGTGGTCGATCATCGGGGATTAGCAAGGGAGCCTAAGAGTGCATTAGCGCATAGGAGTGCGTTGCTCTTACGTAGAGTGCATTAGCGCCGACAGCGTCGGGTAGTCGATAGGACAGCGCCGATTTGGCGTTGAACAGCATCTTCTAGCGTATATGTAGCTTTGATTTGCGTCGATTCGCAAGAACCAGCAAGCTGGTGTGGGAGGCTCCCATGAGTTGCCGCAGAAGGGGATGTGGCCCCTGCGGGCCTTCGGCTTCTCAGATCCTCGGCTCCTCGGCTCCCCGTCCTTGTGCTGCTCTTCTCCTCGCCGCGTCCAGCACGAAGAAGAAGTTCCTAGAGGTAGATCCTCGTTTTCGACCTTCTGGCCCCAGGGCTGTGAGGAACGGCTTTCGATTATATGGGGCAGGGGACGGAGAGACGAGAGGGGACTGGACGCGGATGGGAGCGGAGGGGAGGGGGGGGCAGAAGAACGAGGGTCGATGGGAGTTATGAGTAGTGGACAGGCTGAGAAACAGGGGAGGAGGGGAGACGTGGAGTCGAGTGGAGTGGACAGGGAGATGGGGAAGATGCCCAAGGCGGGGGACCCCATGGGAGCGCTACCCGGCTCCTCCACTTCACCCCCTGCACCTCCAGAGCACCTGCACCAATACGCCGTGCAATTCTGCTTCTGAGGGCCACCGCGTATTCTGCTCAACCCCCCCGGGGCGGGTCCTGGCGCGACGGAGGCAGCCCATTCGCGCGCGCTCGCCCCTCCTGTCCTTCCGCAGGCGTTTTGGCCCCAGGCCTTTTTTGGCAGAAGCCGCCCGCGCCCGCGGACCACGGCGAGATCGGAGCCCTGTCCGAGCCGATCAACGATTCAGGCAATCGGGGATCTTCTGACCCGGGTCAATCCAGACCGGGGTCAGTGAGGCCTTGCAAAATCCTGCAAGACCCTGCAAGATCCTGCACCCAAACCCAGGTCAATACGAAGGATCCTGCAGGATCCTGCAGGATCCTGCACCCAAACCCGGGTCAATGCGACCCTGGCGCTGCAGGATCTTGCAAGATCCGGCGCTCTGGCTGACCCCCGTTTGCATTGACCCCCGTCTCGAGGCTCCCGAGGCAACTCGCTGGGCGGCGGGGGTATCGGGTTCGGAATTCGTCAACACGTGGCGACATCCGATCCCAATGCCCCTGCCTCCCGCTTGGCATCGCTCGGACGTGTGCATTTTTCCTTTTGCAAGGACCATCGAGGAGCATCCTTGATCATTTGGCGAAAAAATACCACGCACGAAACCAAACAAAGCACACAGGGAATGGACGTCCGAGCGATGGCGAGCGGCCCGCCGATTCAGGAGAATCGGTGGTTGGTGGAGGTAGGGTTCGGATGTGGCCGCCTACGGCAGGTTCGCGTCGTGTCGACGCGGCGGCGATCCCGCCGCGGGCGTTCAGGGTTGAACGCCGCCAGCTGCCCTGGGCCAATCAGCATGGAACGATCTGCGATCGAAGCGCCGCCGTTTCTGGGAGGTTGGGCGTTCCACGCGGTGGAACAAGCCAGCGGCGGGGCCATCTCGGGTCGCGAACCTACCGCACGCAAATCATCGGGCGGGTGGTAATGAGGTGTGACGCAAATGGGCTCGGCATCGCTCGGACGTGTGCATTTCTCCGCCGGCGAGGACCATCGAGGACCATCCTTGATCATTTGGCACAAAAACAAAAAACAAAAAAACGCACAAAACTGAAAAAAAACATAGGGAATGGACGTCCGAGCGATGACGATATAGGGGGTGCAGAGAAGGGCCCAAAGGAGTCCTATATCCCCTTTGGGGAGCCGGCAGGGGCCCTTCAAGGGCCCCTCTCGGGGGCACTTCTCTGCTCCACCCCCCCATGCGGGGCACTCCCCACTGCCGCCCGCCCTGTAAACTGCTCCCCGACCATCCCCCCCCCCGCGCGAGAGAGGCCAGGGCTGGACCTAAACGGTGTTTTTGCGACTTCGTGGGCCGTTTTCGTTTCGACTTCGTTTTGCGGTAAAGGCGGATTGAAGACAAAACGAAGGAAAACGAAAACAAAACGAAAACGACAAACACCGTTTAGGTTCAGCCCTGAGAGAGGCCATGCAGCGCCGCCGAGCGAGCGCCCTCCCCGCCCTGCTCCTGCTGGCCCTCGGCGCGCTGGCCCTCTCGGGCGCCTTCGTGCCCGCGCCGCCGCCGGCCCCCGCGCGCGGGCCGGCGCTGGACGCGGTGGCCGCCGGGGCGGCGGCCGGGCTCCTCTCCGCGGCGCCGGCCCAGGCGCGGAGGGGGAGAGTCTCAGTCGGCGAAGCGTCAAGCAGCGGCGAAGCGTCCCGGCGTGCCTGCAGCCCCGCCACACAGTGTTCCAAGACCCAACATGTCCGAGGGCGGAAGATCCGCTCCGCGACGTTGGCGCCACGAGGCCCTCGGGGCCGCGCATCGACAAAGCAGATCGGCGGATGTCTGCCGGGGGGGGCGGCGGGGACAAAGGGCCGTGCGGGGCGGGGCGGGGCGGGGCAGGGCGGGGCGGCGAGGGGCGAGGCGGGCCGGGAGGGCGGAGGAGACCCCAGGGGGCCCACCAGGGGGCGTGGTTTCCACGAAACGCTCTTGGAACATTTCTGGCGGAGTCTGTCTTGTTTCAACACATCGGGTTTATGTTCTAAGAACATATTGCTTGTTCTTAGCACATTTTCTGGTTCTAAGACCATTTCGTTGGTATGACTATAGGAGAGTCTCAGTCGGCTTGCGTTATGTCGGGCGTGTCCCTCTGCAGGGGGATTTCCTACGAAAAACAAAAAAATCAAAAAAATACCCCAAAAGGGTAAAAAAAAAAACTCCAAAAATAGTTCCCAGACTATTTTTGTATCATTTTTGGTGTATTTTTTATTTTTCGTCGAAAATCCCCCTGTAGGGGGACACGCCCGACTTAAGGCTTGCTGGCGGCGCGTCATTGGGAGGTTGATGGACCTCCTACCCTGACACGTCGATTGGCGAATTGGCCGTTTTCGGTTCGCGAGAGGGCGTCGCGGCTGTCATTTTTGCGGGTCCAGGTCCGTCGGTTTCGGCCCTAATTACGCCGTTTTCACCAAAGGGAGGTTTGCTAAAGGGAGGTGTGTCCACCGCCGACTCATGGGGGTGGGGTGGGGTGGGGGGGTGGGGGGGTAGCGATACTTGGGCCGGACGGAAGGGGGGGATTGGGGAAGGGGGGGGGTACGAAATCTGCTGCACGCAGCTGGTTTCGGCCACACCGAGGGGCCCATGCCTCGATACAGAGCCGCCTCTGGCGCCGGGAGGCGCCGGGAAGATCAGCTACGTGAGCTGATTCTCAAACCCTTTGCTATCCCCCCCTTTCGCCCGGCCCGATATACAACCCAGCATCCTTGGCATCGCTCAGACGTGTGCATTTTTTCTCGGCGTCGGCCATCGAGGAGCATCCTTGATCATTTGCCGAAAGAAAACGCACACGAAATCGAAAAATACACGAGGAATGGACGTCCAAGCGATGGCGACAGACCCTTCCAAGGGTCACATTACCATAGGAGTGCAGGAGGCACAGGGCGCGAGACACAGGGCACAAATGTACCCTTGATTTGGCAGGGTCGACCTACCAATCCGGGCCGACTGCAGGCGGGCAGCGATGGCTGTAGAAAAGGGGCCCTTCAAGTCCCCTGACGGGGCCCTCCTGTAGGGCCCAACAGGTGGCTTCTGGGCCCCGAGGAGTGCACCTGTCTGCCCCTCCCCTATTTCTCGCCCCCCCCATTGAGCGACGCCCAAGCGGCGGCGAGCCTGGGGGGGGAAGTGAGAAGGGGCGGGCCTTCTCAGAGGGCGCGGAAGTTTCCCGGCCCTTGGAGAAGTGCTCTGAGCCTTCCCCGAAGACACGGGACACTTCTCAGAAGGCGCGAAGAGCTTCTGAGGCCCAGCCGTCTTCTGAGAAGGCCTTCTTCTTCTCAGTTCCCCCGTCGCTCGCCGCCGACTCAAGCAGTGGCCAAGCGTCACGGCTTGCATGTAGGCCCACCACAGAAGTGTTTTTAGAACATTTTTGGTTGAGGACCGTCTTGTGTTGGTGCGTCGGCTTCAATCATAAATAAAGGCTATGTGTTTGTTGTTCGAGCATTCGTTTGTTCTGGTGGCCCTGCGTGGTAGGCCTAATGCCTAATCGTGGGAATGCCAGGACGGTCGGGCCCTGCTCAAATCGGAGGACCGAAGACGGCCAAAACGTAAAAATTGGAGGTCCGCGCGGTTGTCTCGGATCGCCGCTGGAATCCCTTAAGAGCCGTTGCGCTTCAGACTCAAGCGAGTTGATATGCATGGCATGTCCCCCCCTCTATTCGGCGCCACCCCAACCTACTTCTACTATATGTGCGTCGCCCCCCCAGGGGCGACGCGCGCACCGAGAAATCTTAGAAATCTTATAGTATATGCGTCTTGGCGGGCGCGCTCGGGATACGATATACTACAAGATGGGTATACTATATGTTCGGGTCGGACGCGCGCCTCCAAGGAGAACATAGTACTGGGATGTCTCTGTGCGTCCCAATCTCGGGGGCTGTCTTCGACCATCTTCGGTCACCTCGGCCACAGATAGTACTAGTGTGTCGTTGTTCCCCCCCTCCTATCCCCCGCGCTGTCGAGCAATGCCGGGCCGAGAAGGCGTGCGAGTGAGCCCTGGCCTGCGCGAAGTCCAGACTCCCATTCGGGCCTCGCCATGCCCCCCCCCCATGGAAGTAAACCTGCCGGAGTCTACAGCACATCTGGCTCAGAACATTATAAATCTCAGGAGGGGGAAATATAGAATCGTCGATGAATCGTCGATTCCGTGAAAATTTGGGGAAACTATGGACAGTGGGGGGGGAGACAAAAGCCCCGAAAACACGGGAACATGTGGGGAATCACGTTGTTGGTGTGCAGTTATTTGCGTGTCCCATGGGCCCCATCAAAATCACAAACATCAACTCTCGGAGGTCCGCGCGGATGTCTCGGATCGGCCTTGGAGCGCCCCGGCGGCGCCGCCCCCGACGCGCTCCGCGCGCGGGGTTTGGGGGGGCCCCTGCGCCGCTCCAACACATCCGCGCGGACCTCGAGCGCACTTTCTGTTGGCGTCGCTACTTGCTCGTCCAGAGAGGGCGAACGGTCAGGAGACTGTTTCTGTTAGGGTCGGGCGATCACCCAGGTGATCGGGCTTGCCCCCCCTCCCCCCCCCCAGGATCTTCTAACCTTGCCCGTTGTGCAGGTTCGGGCTGGGGTGGGGGGCGCGGGCAGACGCAGAGCTGCCCACAGCGCGAGGGTCAGGTTGTCGGCCGGCCCCCCCCCCCCTGGGATAACCCGGGCTAGCGCCGATTAAAAAAAAAACGGTCTCCAGGACGCCGAGGTCAGGGCCCAGTTGGACTCGGGAGGGGCTCCAGCTGTCGGGCCGCTCCCGAGATCCGAGTCCGGAGGCCCACTCGAGCCCGAGGCTCGCCCTGGGCGAGCGGAGCCCCTCTGCTCCTCGTCCGGCGTTGCCCATGGAGTCGCAGGGCGGAGGAGAATCAGGAGAGGAAAAAACACACAGACACAATTAATCCTCGATTCCCCAGATAATATGGGAAAATATGGGAAGTGGGGGGGGAAGACAGAAACCCCGAAAATATTGGGAAATATGGGGAATCTGTTTATTTGTGTGTATTTATTTGTGTGTGTGTCCTGGGGCCCCTTCAGAGAAGCGACACCAACACCACCAGGGGGGCCACCTCCAGCGAAGAGGTCCACGATGCCTCCCGAGCTGGGGGTAGGGGATGTCTCGAGCGAGAGGGGGGGGACCACACCGCCAGGGGCACCCCTCCCTGGCTCCTCCCGCTGGTGCTCCCTGGTGGTGTCGGTGCTGGTTTTCCACGCTCTTAGTGGAGTCACAGGAGACCGCACGGCAGATTCGCGCCGTGTCGACACTGCATCGATTCCAGCGCGGGCGTTCAAGACTGCACGCCGCTGGCGGCCCAGCCTCGGCCGACGCGGAGCGATCCGGCGATCGAGGAGCCGCCGAGCTTTCGAGGTCGAGCGATCCGCGCTGTGTCATGAACTGGCGACGGGGTCGTCACGACGCGAACTTGCCGCGTGGATGTTGGCCAGAATTAGGGAAACAAGAAGTGATTCGGAGGTCCGCGCGGCTTCCTCGGATCTGCGCTGGACCCCCCTCCCTGGCGCGCGGAGCGCGCCAGGGGCGGCGCCGGAGGCGCCGCCGGGGGGCCCCAGCGCCGACCCGAGAAGTCCGCGCGGACCTCCGAGTTTTTATGTTTATGCCACTTTTTGTTCCCCTCGGGGGTGGACAGACCTCCCACCCTGACACGTCGATTGAGGAATGGGCCGTTTTCGGTTCGCGAGAGGGCGTCGCGGCCGTCGTTTTTGCGGGTCCAGGTCCGTCGGTTTCGGTCCCAGGCCGTTCTCACTAAAGGGAGGTTTACTAAAGGGAGGTTTGTCCACCACCGATCCCCTAAGAATTTCTGTCGATCCCCACGGGAGTGAAGTGCCGAGGCCGGCGCTTCGAGGGGGAGCCGAGGCCGATCCCGGCCAGGTCTGGGCGCTCCGGGTCCCCGTTGTCCCCGCCGCTCCGCGCCTCTGCGGGCCGCGCCGGGGTCGAGACTTTTTGTGCCCGCGCGTGCAGTGCCGGTTTTTATGCATGCTCCGCGTGCGGATCATGTAGTAAAATGCAGGGATTCGGCATTATAAACAACGATGCGTTCATGCATAAATTCAGGCATACATGGATCATGTATTACAAATCCTCTATTAAAAAAAAATCATGTATTACAAATCCTTTTTTACAAAAACAGGAAAGAAACGATGTAGTAGAACCTGCCCTGTATATGTCGGGGGTGGGCAGAACACCCGCCCTGACACACGTCGGCTCGTGAATTGTCCGTGTTCGGTTCTCGAGAGGGCGCCGCGGCCGTCCTTTTCCAGGCCTGCGCCCACCAGGTCGTCTTCACTAAACCACCTGGCATCGCTCGGACGTGTGCATTTTTTCTCGGCGAGGACCATCCTGGACCATCGAGCAACAAAAACACGCACGAAATCGAAAAATGCACGGGAAATGGACGTCCGAGCGACGGCAAGACCACGTTTTACGAAAGAGGGCTCCGTCCCTCGCCGAAACTACGCCGCAGCTGGCCCTCCACGGGCTGTACGTGCTTCGGCACGGCAGGCTCGCGCCTGCGGCAGTCCAGCGCGGAGGCGCCCCACGCTGAGCACCGCGAGTGGCCAGTAACAGGCTCACGTCGAGCACTCCGCGCTATCGGAATAGGGGGCCAAATGCGAACCCTACCCTACCCCTACCCCCACCCTCCCCCTCAAAAATCGTGGGGGTAGGGGTAGGGTTCACATGTGGCACCCTACGGAAGCCGCGAAGATTCGAGGCTCACGCTGTGTCAGAAACCAGCGCTGACGTCGTTTCGAAGCAGCCTGGCATGCGTTATCTAGCGGCCCTTGGCCCACCCCGCCCCCTCAGGCGAACGGGTCTCAGCTCTTCGGCGCGCGCTACACGGGGCTCCTCTTCGAGGAGATCATACCATACGCTCTCGTGTCGTCCTTCACGATCCTCTGGGGCATCGTGCTGGGCTTCGTGCTGCTGAGGCTGCAGGAGGCCTTCCCCGAGTGATCGCGGGGGCGGCGCCTCGGACCGGCGACACCCACCCGCGCCTAGGGGCGTTGCGCAACGGGGGGGCGATGAATGTGGCAGCGACTTGGCATCGCTCGGACGTGTGCATTTTTTCTCGGCGACGGCCATCGAGGACCACCCTTGGCGAACAAAACACACGCACGACATCGAAACATACACCAGGAATTTGGCGATGAATTTGGGTATAGCCAGGACGCCAGGTAAGGGGGCCCGGTTAGCGGTAGGGCCCTGGGGCCTTTGAATTGGCCAGATTCACTAACCCAGGTTTGCCGTAACTGGTGTTTTTCGGGTGACGGCAGTTCCGGTTAGTGGGAATGGGACGGGGGGGCGCCCCCGGTACAGATCACATCACTAAACCAGGTTCCACTGAATCCAGTTCTGCCAACGCCCGATGAATGTTGTGGCAGCGAGGGCTGCAGAAAAGAGGCCCTCTGGAGCTCCTGAAGGCGCCGTGTAGGGCCCACAGTGGGCCTCTGGAGCCCGAGAAGTGCACCTTCCTCCCCGCACAGCTGCACAGTCGGCCCGAATTGGTAGGTCGACCCTGCCAGATCAAGGGTGCCCTTGTGTCCTGAGCCTCGCGGCCCATGCTTCCTACATTCCAGCGGCAAGGTGGCCCTCAGAAGGGTCTTGTGTCCTCTCGCGTGTCCTGTCCAATCGAGTCCGACTGTAGGACCGTCTTGGGGGCCTCGTGGGGCCCTCGTGGTCCTCTCGGCTCGGAACAACAAAGTTCCGCGGGACAACGCGGGCAAGCCCAGCAGGCACGCGGGAAGCCCGGGTGAGAGTTGAGAGCTGGGGGCCTGGGCCCCGCGGGTACTCTCCAGGATTGGGGACTGAGCCTCAGGGCACAAAGGCAAAGGACCTGGTGACGCACCAGTTTGTGCCTCACTTGGCATCGCTCGGACGTGAGAATTTGTTCCAATCGAGTCCGACTGTGCCGCTGCCCCATTCCGCGACGCCCAACGTGCCCTGGCCGCCCGCGGGCCCTGCGCGCGGACGCGCGGCCCGGGCCCCCCCCCTCGCGGCGGAGGGGCGTGGCGAGTCTTTTCGGGGCCGGTCCCAGTTCGTGAAGAAAGGTCAATCGGCTTGGGCGTCACCTCCTCCTCCTCCTCCGCCTCCGCCTCCTCCTCCTCCTCCTCCTCCGCCTCCTCCGCCTCCTCCTCCTCCTCCTCCTCCTCCTCCTCCTCCTTCTCCTCCCATGAGACGTCACGATACTTGCGTCGTGGGCTCCCAGAGAGGAGCCGAACTCTTGAACGAGAGCATGCCGCTGCGACTGGTCCTCGACTTGGGCGTCGCGCTATGGGGGACGAATACATGGGGGGCAGCGGGGGCTGCAGAAATGGAGCCCTGCAGGCCCCCGAAGGGGCCCAAGAAGGGGGCCTCTATAGGGCCTGTAAAGGGCTCCTTTCTTTTCCCCCCCATTCATGATCCCCCGCTTGCGACGCCCAACAGGCTCGAAGAAGACCAAACATGTGCAAACAGATATTTGGGAGCTCCGCGCGGATTTCCTGGATCTGCGCCGGGCACCCCTGGCGGCGCCTCCCGCGCAGATCCAAGAATATCCGCGCGGAGCGACCAGAGGGCAAGTTTTTGCAGTTCGGGTTCGCCCTCCCTCCTCCTCCTCCCTCCTCCTCACTTCTTTCCTCCTCCTCCTCCTCCTCCTCCTCCTCCTCCCTCCTCCTCCTCGCCTTCCTCCTCCTCCTCCTCCTCCTCCTCCTCCTCCCTCCTTCTCCCTGCTCCTCCTCGCCAGCCGTCCCCCTCTCCCGCCAGGCCAGCCGCAGCCCTGGGGGAGGGAGGGCCGAGAGGCACGCCGAGCTCCGCGGCCGCGGTGCGGACATGCAGGCCTCCCAGATGGGGTCCGAGCAGATGGGCTCGCAGGATCGCTCCGCATCGCCGAGGTGCGTCGACGAGACGGCGCGATGCGGAGTCGTACTGTCTCCGCGCCGATGCATCGCCGATGCATCGCCGATGCAGTGCGATCCTCCGAGCCCTTCCTCTCGGTTCTAATCTAGGAGGCCTCTGATACAGGTGTGAGGTGTGCTCCCGGCTGCGCGTGGCCCCCCCCTGATTGCGCTGGTGCTCATCTTTCTTTCTCTTCTCGGCCTTCCCCATCTCGTCCTTGCCCTCCTCCTCGTGATCCTGCTGGTCGCCCCCCCCCCCCCTGCCCCTGGTCATGATCGTGCTCATCCCTGTCTTCCTCTGACTTCCCCGCCTCCTCCTTTGTCCTCCTCCTCCTCGTTGTCACGGAGCCGGGAGGACTGCGCTCCATCATGAGAAGGTCGGGCCGTCCCATTCGACGGCGCCAGACCAGGGCTGGACCTAAACGGTGTTTTTGCTAATTTCGTGAATCGTTTTCGTTTCGACTTCGTTTTGCGGTAAGGGCGGATTCGAGACAACAGCGACGGTAAACGAACACAAAACGAAGACGAACAACACCGTTTAGGTTCAGCCCTGCGCCAAATTGAAGCTTTCCACCCCTTCCCTCGTCCCCCTGGGTTTCCCGGTCCTGCCGTCCGCCCCCCCGGCCCTCCCCGGCCCCCACAGCAATGCTCAAGAGGAGAAAAAAACACACAGACACAATTCATCGTCGATTCCCATGAAAATATGATAAAATATGGGAAGTGGGGGGGAAGACAAAAACCCAGAAAATATGGGAAAATATAGGGAATCTTGTTATTTGTGTGTATTTATTCGTGTGTCCCAGGGCCCATTCAAATGCCCCTCCCCTCCCCTCCCCTGCCTCCCTGCTCTGCCCCTCCCTCGCCCTGCCTCCCCGGCGCCCCTGCCTCCCTGCCCTGGCCTTGGCATCGCTCGGACGCGTGCACTTTTGATCGGCAAGGGCCATCGAGGAGCACTTTTGTGCACGCTGCGAAAGAATACGCGCACGAAGCCGACAAATGCACACGGAGTGGACGTCCGAGCGATGGCGAGTGGCCCCCCTGCCCCTCTCCGAGGCCCCGCCCCCTCCCCCCCCCCTGCCCCTCCCCCCGTAGCGCTGCAGCGCCAGGGCCCAAGAACAAAAAAACGAGGGCGAGGAGTCCAACCCCCACCTCCGCGCGCGCCGTGTGGATGTACACACACACACAGCGGTAAACTGCTCAGCGAATTACGAATGTAGTCTAACACAAAAGTATAGCATTCCGGCTTAATCCCGCTCAATCCGGCTTAATCCCGCTTGATCCGAGGCCCACTCCGGCGTAACAGCCCCCCAGTGGGGCTTCACGACCAAAGCCTCCCAGTAGTTGCCTTCTAATTGGACCTTGGACGCGTCGACCCCATGGCCCACGTCTTCGTCCCAGAGATCCCCTCTGGATGGCGGACGAGACCTCCACGGTCATAAGCGTGCTCCGCCGCCCGCGGACTTCTGTCCCCCTCCACGCGCCCGTCCCTTGCTATCGCTCGAACGTGTGCACTCCTCTTGGGCGGGGCTCACTGAGGAGCATCCTGGATCCTCCTGCAGAAAAAACGCGCACGAAAGCGAAAAAAACACAGGGAATGGACGCCCGAGCGACGGGGAGTTCCTTTCTCCCCTTGTGCCGAGAGAGGCTCCGAGGTGTCCCTCGCCTGTCCCGCCCCTCGTTTTGGACCCGGGCCGCCGCCGGCGAAGGGTCCCTCGACGGCCCATGGGCCAGCCTCCAGGGACCTGGCATCGCTCGGACGTGTGCTTTGTTTTTCTCGGCGAGGACAATCGAGCAACAAAAACCGCGCGCAAAACCGAGCGTGCAAAAAACCGCGCGCAAAACCGAGCAATGCACGGGGAATGGACCATCGAGCAAGAAACCGCGCGCAGAACCGAGCAAATGCACAGGGAGTGGACGTCCGAGCGACGGCAGGGGGACCCCTTGTGCCGAGTGCGGCTCCGAGGTGCCCCTCGGCTGTCCCGCCCGCGTCTTGGACCGGGACGGGGGGGCGCCCCCGGTACAAATCAGTAAACCAGGTTCCATTAAACCCAGTTCTGCCAACGCCCGATCTAAGTCGGGCCCGTCCCTCTACAACAGGAATATCCAAAAAAAAGTAAAACCATAGTCTGGGGTCGATGTTTTGAGTATCTGACCAGTTGGGAGTACATCTTGCGTATGTTTTGGCTTTCGTCGATAATCCCCTTGTAGGGGGGCACGCCCGACTTAACCATACCTCTACCCCGTCGCCCGTTTTCCCCTTTTTTTTTGGGTCTCCTGGGAGGCCCTCGTCGCCACCGCTGGATTCGCCTCGAAATCCTGGTCAGAGCGCACCCCAGGAGAGGTCCGGGGAGTAGCGGTATCGGTACCTCTTGGTCTCCCCAAGGATGGAGCCGAGCGAGACTCTCCCAAAGGAGCTCAATTGTTTTGCACACTGATCGCTGGCAGCCTCGTGGCGTGCACGTGTGCAGTGGAAGGGACTTGGCGAGAGCGGCCGTACTCTCGCGCCGTGCTCTTCCAGACGCTTGCCTGCGTGGCAGCAACCTCTGACGAGTGGAGAATTATTTATGGACACGCCAGGGGGTTTTGCCTGAGACAGTCTCACAACATCCTGCCCCGACGTTCAACACCCTCACACAGACAAAGAACACAGAGATACGCACACACGCACACACACACACATTCACCGCAACCGCGAGGCCTGGCTGCTCCTCTGCGCGTCGTCCCTGCTGGTGAAGCATCTGCTCTGCCAGGCGCGCCCCCGGGGGGGCCCTAAGGACGGGATGGGTCGGGCGTTGCGTAATAGGGAGGCGACAGATTGTGGGGGGGAGGGGGGGGCTAAAGGAAGGTGCACCCTTTGTACCGTGAAGGGGTCCTAGGGGTCCCCTGGGGCCCAAGAGGGTACGAACGGTGCCTTGGCATCGCTCGGACGTGTGCATTTTTTTCTTGGCGACGGCCATGGAGGACCATCCTTGATCATTTGGCGAAACAAACACGCACGAAATCGAAAAATACTCGAGGAATGGACGTCCGAGCGATGGCGAGGTGCACCTTTCCCCTGTCTCACTTCCCCCCCATTTCTCGCCCCCATCATCAAGCAACGCCCGAACGGGCGTGGGACTGGCCGGGCGCGAAGTGGATCTAGCTTGCTAACGGTAAGTCGGGCGTGTCCCCCTACAGGGGGATTTTCGACGAAAAATAAAACTTATTAAACAATACTCCCAGATGGTCAAAAAATACTCCAACAATAGTCCCCCGACAATTTTTGGACAATTATTACTATTTGGGGGTTGTTTATTTTTCGTAGAAAATCCCCCTGCAGGGGGACACGCACGACTTAATGCTAGCGGAGCTCACAGCCTGAGGGGGGGCAGCCCGTCCCTTCCGATACGCGCTGGCTGTCCCAGCTTCGGGAGCTGGTTCCCGATATGTACCTGGCTGGCCCGGGCGAGCGCTGATGCGGGCCAGCCCGTCCTCCAAACGAGCAGGGGGACAGGCAGGGCCCAGCCGTCGGGATTGGTCCAGGTCAGCCCGCGTCCAGGTCGGCGGAGGGAGGGAAGGGCACGGTCTTGAGGAAGAACGGTGCGGAGGTGTCTCTGCATTTAACGGGGGGCTTTTGTTGGTCGTGTGTTTTTTGTTTCTTTGATTGTTTGGGTTTGTATTTGTTTTCGATTAGTTTTTTTTTTTTTTCTATGTTTTTCTTGTTTATTTTTTGTTTTTTTTGTTGTTTTTAATTTGTGGGTTTTTTTGTTTGCGGGGTCATCCTTTTCGGCGCCTTTTTTTTCGTTTTTTTCCACTTTTTAGTATTTTTTTCGTGTTAGTTTTTTATTATTTTTTTATTTTTTCGTTTTGTTTTCGTTCGTTTTTTTTTATTTTGTTTATTTTTTTATTTTTTTTATTTTTTTTTTTCGTTTTAGTATTTTCGTTGTTTTTTCTCTTGTTTTTTTTTTTCATTGTTTTTTATATCGTGACCATCAGGAAGCGATCAAGGACAAGCAAAGTTCGGCGGCGAGCGAGGGGGGGAAGTGAGAAGGAGAAGGCCTTCTCAGAAGGCGGCGGCACTTCTCAGAACCTCTCGCGCTTTCTGAGAAGTTTCTGTGTCTTCGGGAAGGCTTAGAAAACTTCTCAGAAGGCCGGGAGACGTCCGAGCCTCCTAAGAACGCCTTCTCCTTCTCACTTCCCCCCCTCGCTCGCCGCCGAAACGTGCCCCGGGGAAGAGGTCGGAAGTTCTTGGTGCAGCGGGGTTTGCAAGCACGAGACTGGCCTCTGGGGGCTGCCAGAGTCCTCGGGGGGCCTGGCAGCTATCTCCAGATCCTTGCAGGCTGCCTCGTGCCATGCGATTGTCCCCGAACCCGCCTATGATGCCTAGGATGAGCGGCGCCCCGCATGTATGAACGGCAGCCTTCACCACCCACCAAACCACCCCAACCCAACCCGAAGATTCACTCCCCCGACCGAGATTTGGGTCTTCGAGTAGGGCTGGAGTGGTTTGGCAGGTAGTCAAGTCTCAGGATTGCGAACGCCGTGCTTCAGTTTCTGGGCCGAGTGGTTATTCAAAGGCAGTTTGATGTTGTCTGAAGGCATAGAGACTATACGGGAATTGGGAGCCCATTGAACATCGGCGGGGCATCAACGAACAACACAGTGCCACTACACGCATCACGTTCGGACATCATTTGGGACATACCCGAAGCATGTACGGAATTTTATTTATTCTAAGCAATGTATCTTACAGTTCAAGTGCAAACAAGTTGGGGATTGGAAGGTAGCGTAGCAATTGAAATTAAAAGGAAGCCACAGGAACAAACAACGCTCCCATTTCATGCCCCACATCACGATGATGAAGCGTCGCCCCCATCCAAGCCATGACGCTGAGATAGGGGTTCTTGCATCTGGGGTGGTCTGGTCATCTGCTACATGGGCGCACTACCAGGCATCGCACTCAAGTGAGACAGACGTTCCATGGCTGTGAGCAAACCGTGCTGACCCTGGCCTGGGCAGGGAGCTGTGGGCCCGCACTGCCGACGCATTCCTCTGACGATCCTCAGCGAGGGCATGTGGTCCTCCGAAGGAGAGCGAGGAGGTTCCGCTCGCGGAACGGTACGCTCCTGAGTTGCACCCAGTGCGCAGAAGCATCGGACGAGGAGGATTTGAAGAGATATGGCTTAAAGGGGCGCCTTAACCCCATGTGATATGGCATGCGGCCATCTCCACCCCAGGGTTGACAGGGGGACCTGCGCCACAGCAGGCCACCCTAGGGGTGACAGGAATACTTGGGTCTCCCCAACGCCCAACAACTTCTCGTTGGATCGAGGGACGACGCGTGTCAGACCTAAGTGTCCAATGTAATTTGTTGTGTTGCATCGCGCGGCACGCGCACTCCATGCGCGCGATTCCTTCAGCCAAAGTTGCTTTAACAGTTTTAACGCTGGTTTGGGCGCAAACTGATTTAACAGTTTTAACGCCTGCTGCGCCGCACCGTCCCCGTGACATTTGCAGCGCCTTGCGTGGCGCGGGGGGATAGCGGATGGGACGGTACGCCTAAAATCTGGGTAGTTGCAAGTTCCCGTGCTGACGATTTGTCGTCGTTTGAGTGAGCAAAATGTGCGTCCCTACTCGGGGGCGAGGTGCGGAATGGATTCATGGACACGCCAGTACACCCAAAAGTAAGTCCAAAGAAGTGGCCGCAGCAAAGTGTGGTTGTTTTCCACGCTGGTTTGGCCGATAAGGAGGTTCGGGGTGAAGCACCTTACCTTGAGCGCGCCCGAACGCGAAGCAGGATCGTGAGACTGTCCCGGTTGCGTGGCCGATAATTTGGGGGTGAGGTGTCGATGCTATTCCTCCTGACCTCACGACGACATGTTGGTTCCCACAAAGTGGGACCCGGATGTGTGTTTGGTCCACCCTGGGGGGGACGCAACAAGTTAGAACCAAAGCGCGCGCACCCTGCCGGGGGGGCAGGAATTGTTCGCCCTTGGACGGCGGTCCACGCTAGCAACCAAACGTGCGCGGTTATGTTATGCGTTGCGTCTGTCCTGGTTGCGTGGCCGATAACTTGGGGGTGAGGTGTCGATGCGATCCCCACTGAACTCGCAACGACATGTTGGGCCCCACGAAGTGAGACCAGGGTGTGTGCTTGGTCCACCCCAGGGGGGCGCAACAAGGTAGAACCAAAGCGCGCGCGCCTTGCCGGGAGGGGGGGGGCAGGATGTGTCCGCCCCAGGGCGGCGGTTCAAGGTAGAATCCAAGCGTGCGCTGTTCTGGTATGTGGTGTTGCGTCTGTCCCGGCTGCGTGGCCGATAATTTGGGGGTGAGGTGCCGAACGCTAGAATCCAAGCGTGCGCGGTTGTGATATGTGGTGTTGCGTCTGTCCTGGCTGCGTGGACGATAATTCGGGCGTGGAGTGTCGATGCTATCCCCCTGACCTCACAACGACATGCTGGGTCCCACGAAGTGTGACCTGGATGTGTGCTTGGTCCACCCCGGGGGGACGCAACAAGTCAGAACCAAAGCGCGCGCACCTTGCCGGGGGGGCAGGATTTGTCCGCCCCTTGGTGGCGGTGCGAGCTAGAATCCGAGCGCGCTCGGTTCTGGTATGTGGTGTTGCGTCCTAGTTGCTTGCACCACATATTGAGCCCGAGCTTGAAGCAGGCCCGTGAGACACGACAGCTTGCACCACGTCTTGCGTCCGAGCGTGAAGCAGGACCGTGAGACACGATAGCTTGCACCACGTATGGTTCTGTTGATGTAGGCCTTGAGTTCACCCCAGAGTTGATCGGGACCTACGGAGTGGATCAAGTTATGAAATGTGTCACGCACGTGGTTACAGTGATGGACGCCGCAGGAAAATCTCTCTGGGATCCCTAGGGGGCCCCTGGCGATCACAAGGTGGCCCTCAAGGAGGATCTACCGCTTAGATCTTCATCTTGGAAAGAGCGTGTGGTACCGCTGCTGGCGGAAAACCGGGGGGGGTCACTACCGGTTCGAACCCCTCCCCCCCCCCTCTGGAAAACGTGGGGGGGTCACTACCGGTTGGAACCCTCTTTTTCTCCCTTCTCTGGCCCCTTTCCCGCCTTTTACCTTTTTTATTCCTCCCTTCGTCCTCATGATTCCCGGTTATCTGTTTTCCTTCGTTTTTTTTCCTTCCGCCTGTTCTTTTCTTTTCTATTATTTTTCGTTTTTTCCCTCTTTTCTCTTCTTCTTTTTCCTTTCTTCCCCCTTTTTCCCTCTTTTTTTTCCTTTTTTTTTCCTCTTTTTTTTCTTTCGTCTTTTTCTTTTTTTTCTCGTTTTTTTCTTCCCTGTTGTTTTTTCTCTTTTCCTTTTTTTCTTACCTCTTTCCCCTTCCCCTTTTTTTTTTTTCCCCTCTTCCTCTTTTCCTTTTCTTTTTTTTTTTCTCTCCTTTCTCTTTTTCTTCTTTCCTCTTTTTTTCCTCTTTTTTCTCTTTTCTTTTTTTCTTCCCCCCCCCCCCCCAGTTCATCATGAAAAGGGAAGGGGGGGGGTCACTACCGGTTCGAACCCCCCCCCCCCTCGAAAACCGAGGGGTGGTGCGGACAGTGGTGGGGACGGTGGTGGTGGGGACTGGTGAGGGAACAACGGGACAGTGGTGGGGACCGTGGGACAGTGGTGGAGACGGTAGTGGTGGGGACAATGGGGAGGACAATGGTGGGAACAGTGGGGACAGTGGGACAGTGGTGGGGACGGTGTTGGTGGGGACAGTGGTGTGGGGACAGTGGGAA